AAGGAAATAGTCAACCACGTCCAGGAAGCACAAAGAGTCCCAGGCAGATTAAACCCAAGGAGGAACACACCAAGACACATAGTAATCAAACTGGTGAAAATTAAAGACAAAATATTAAAAGCAACAAGGGAAAAATGACAAATAACATATAAGGGAACTCTCATAGCTTATCAGTTGATTTCTCAACAGAAACTCTACAAGCCAGTAGGGAATGGCATGATATATTTTAAAGTGATGAGGGAAGAAACTGCAACCAAGAATATTTTACCCAGCAAGACTCTAGTTCAGATTTGATGGAGAAATCAAAAGCTTTACAGACAAGCAGAAGTTAAGAGAATTCAGCACCACCAAACCAGCTTTACAACAAATGCTAAAGGAACTTCCTAGGCAGGAAACACAAAAGGAGGAAAAGATCTACCCAAAATAAACTTGAAACAAATTAGAAAACCGTAATAGGATCATGCTGCTGCTGCTGCTAAGTCACTTCAGTCGTGTCCGACTCTGTGCAACACCATAGATGACAGCCCACCAGGCTCCCCCATCCCTGGGTTTCTCCAGGCAAGAACACTGTAGTGGGTTGCCACTGCCTTCTCCAAATAGGATCACATGTATTGATAATTATTTTAAATGTAAATGGATTAAACACACCAACCAAAAACAGAGACTGGCTGGGGGAGGACAAAAACATGCATGTATGTACTTCCACTTACCACATCACTCTACTTAATTCCCCAAACTATATGTAATTATTTTATATTGTCTATCATGTTTCCATTATGGCTTGCAATTGTAATTATTTTTTATTTTTTGGTCTGGTTACTGATTGTGAAAACTGATAAACATTTTTTACTATTGTGATCATGTTAGAAGAAAACTTATACCACTAAACTTATTATCTATTACCAAATTTCTGAAAATTCAAATATCTAATAATTAATTTTGGAAAATAGTCTTCTAAGTTCCCTGTTATTATTTTTGTGACCAAAACTCAAATTCTTATTCATAATCGGTAAATGTAATACAGGAAATTCATACACTGTCTTAAGAAGAAACAGAACAAAAAGCTATTTTTAAACAAAATTAGTCAACTGTTCTTTAGAAAGGTAATTCTAATTAATTTAAATTATTTTAAGTACACAACCTAGAGAACTCAAACTTTCAGATGCATATTGAAAGAAAAAAATTAACAAATTTTTCAATTTCTTTCCCCAGGCACTGTCTATGTTACCCTCTTGAAATACTAAACCAAAACCTACTGGGAGAATTGACAGCTTTTTTGCTTGATCAGCTTTACACTGAATCTCAAAATAATCAAATGATTTTCCGTTTATATGTACAATGATTACATGAAAACTAAGAACCAGACATTAGCTTATGTAAATGTACTACAAAGACTAAAAATTTAACTGATGCTATTTTTAGATAAACAGAGGATGGCAAAAGATATACGTCTTCTCCAGAAATGAAGAAGAGAATTAACCTTGGTATTTTTGTCTGATGTGCCAGACACCATGCAGTGTACTATATGTATATACAAATATTAAATGTGAGCATATGTGACAATAAAGCTATCATCTCTTAGCCTTAGTCTCTTGGGAAATGTTTCCCTTTCAGTTAAATTCCCCACTGGGTAGGTAAATAATGGCAAAGATGTTTCAAAATTAAGTCTACTGCCATGGCCCTGACAAACAATTGAAATGTAAACTGTAAAGACTGAGAGAATGTACCCTCATCAAAGAGATATTCTGATGTTTTGGCTTTTTCCCTATGGACTAACAAATAGCATTTTCCAGAGAGTTTTCTTATTGAAAACCTACCTTACTAATTAAACATACATTTGGTCCAATTATAAGTTCCCACATGGAAGAAAATACATGACAAGTCCTTTTAAAGTCACTAAAAAATATTTCAGTTATGATACATAGTGCCACTTCATATAGCAACATTGCCAAGAATAGCAAAAAACAAAGTCTAATAGCTCATGTCTGTGACCAAAGACCACCATAAACCACACTGTTACTTCTTTAAGTTTCCAACAGTTTAATTATTTTGTAAGCATGCTCTTCTTTGAGCTTCTCCTACTTTGGTTTACTTAGCTTCTTAAATCTATAAACTTGTGTCCTTATCTAATGTTGGGATGTGTTTGTCCATTATCGATCACAATCTCCTTCTCCTCTCTCCTGGATCCTAATGACATGAATGTCAACACTGATGCTATTGTCCCTCAGGTCCCTGAGCCTCTGTTCTTTTCTGTCCCCCCAATCTTCTTTTTCTCTGTTCTTCTGTTTGGATAATTTATATTGGTCTATCTGCAAGGTAAATGACTCTTTCCTCTGTCAATTCCATTCCACTATGAAGCTCATACCATAGAAGGCAATGGCAACCCACTCCAGTACTCTTGCCTGGAAAATCCCATGGACAGAGGAGCCTGGTAGGCTGCAGTCCATGTGGTCGCTAAGAGTCGGACACGACTGAGCGACTTCACTTTCACACATTGGAGAAGGTAATGGCAACCCACGCCAGTGTTCTTGCCTGGAGAATCCCAGGGACGGGGGAGCCTGGTGGGCTGCCGTCTATGGGGGGTCACACAGAGTCGGACACGACTGAAGCGACTTAGCAGCAGCATGAAGCTCATACAGCTAACTTTTCATTTCAGATATTACACTTTTCAGTTTTTACTAAAAAGTCTGTTTGGTTCTAATTTTTACTTCAAAGCTTAAAATATCTACCTTTCCATTTATTTCAAGTGTGTTTACCTCATTAAAACAGTTGTTTACAATTATTTGATATTTCCAATATCTACATCATCTCAGGGTTGACACGTGTTAATTGTCTTTTCCCTCCAAAATTGGTCATATTTTTCTGGTTCTGTCAAGTAATTTTAGATTGTATCCTGGATATTATGAATAGTAATGCTGTGTGTAGACTATGGGCCCTGGGTCCTGCTATAATTTTTTGACCATAATACTGATTGTGTTTGGTTTTTTTTTAGCAGGCATATAACCTAGTTAGGTTTAGACTACAATTTCAATTTCTTTTTCACCTCTACAGACAGTTATTCCAATGTGAATTCAGTTCTCAAGCCTTTGCTATGCTGCTTTGAGTCTGGCCCCATGAAATGTGCCGTTCGGGCCTGAGACTTGGGTGATAGTTCAAATCTTGTTGTCAGTAATTTCTGTCCTTGCATTCAAAGGTTGGATGGGCTCTGGATCTATATAGGTTTGTACACAGAATTAAGAAAACCTTTTCTCCAGCTTTCTTTCTCCAGGATTTCCCTCATACCCTGTCCCAGAGGGTTCTATTCTACCCAATTCCTCAGGCCAGAAAAACATTCATTTTAAGGTATTTTGGTGTTAACAGGAGCACTGCTGTGGTTTAACATGTTTAATTCAAACTACACTTATAAGATGATGAGCTATGAGCTAAGCTGCTATGACAGAAGAACCAAAAATATCATTCCTCCAAAAGGTAAGATGAAAGCTAAAACAGATTACTGATATGCTGGACACACAGACATACAACTATACAAAACCATTATGTTGTTATCAAATAAAAAAATGTTCAATTCTGATCTAATAATTAAAAAAATGGAAACAGATATAAATAAAGACAACTGAATCAACTAGAGTCAACAGTACAGCCCTAGTGAGGCAAACTAAAGTAACTAGTCCTCCTGTTTAGAAAGATAAAATCAAAGAAACTATATAGTGAACTATGAAATCATCAAAGTTATGCACAGAGTGGATCCCAGATACTCAGATTAACCACAACTCCAATACTCAAGAGTACAGTGTATACCTAGAAGCTTAAGTTCAGAACAAATAAAAATGAACTACTATTTTACACAGCAAATGTTAAGAGATGGTAGAGACTGAAAAGCTTAGCAAATAAGTTCTTGATAAATTTTTAAGTCATAGCTAGCAATCCATAATGGTGAATTCAGGAAAGCCAATGAAATCTGAGATTAGCCCACAAATCTCTTTTGCGTCATTTAAAAGTAACAGTGTCTAGCTGCACAACTTATTTCATTATTGGTTGGACCATAGATTTTACTCAATATAGCTTCTCTTACATATAGCCTTTTTTTTTATTTATTCTATTTTAAAACCTTACTAGTCTTATAGACAAATCTTGTCTAGTTTTGCCAGAAGCTAATCAATAATCTATCAATAATTCTTCATTTATTCTACTCATAGGATCATGGTAGATTAGCAAAAGAAACATTAACATTTTTAAATTTAATTAGTGTGACCTACAGCAATAAATGCTATATACCAAATACATTAAAAGTGCTATAATATCTATAAAACTAAAGTTTTATTTTAGATTCATAACAAGTCTTATAAATATAAATTTTAAATGATAACCTGAAACACAGTCAATACAATACTTGAGAAATTTTTAAATCTTTTTTATCTTTTTATCTCAGTTTTACTGAGATATAATTGACAAATAAGATTGCAAGATATTTAAAGTATAAAATGTGGTGATTTGATACACATATATATCATAGAAACATTCATCACTTCATATAATTATCTTTTAGAGAGCATTTAAGTTCTACATTCAGCAAATTTCAATTCTATAATTCAGTGTTGTCAGTTATAGTCACCATGTTAAAACATTAAATCCTCAGGCCTTAATCACTGTAAAACTTAAAGTTTGTTTTAATTCTTGAAGTGTTTTGAAGATCAAAGATATCAGAGAATTCCTGCACTTACTTTAATATATTAAATATATTCCCTGAAATTGCTACACCAAAAAATATCATCCAGCTCCAAAGAGAGAAGAAAAAAAACCTGACATTATCACCTTGTTTTTGTTATAGTTTGATTAGTCAAACAATCAAAGGTACATCATAGAGGCTTTTGTTTTTGTCTGTTTTTCTGTTTTTAAGTTCCCAAGTTAGCTCTAAGACACGCTGTTTTTTCACAAAAGAGTCATCTGGAAACACATCTCCATACAGCCAAAAAGAATAAAAGTAAAGTAGATATACATACTTCTTTTGGAAAGCCATACACAAGGGAGAACTGAATCCAAAGACAAGGCACATCTGGGCGTCTGGGCTGTAACCAGACTGGAGCAACATTTCCAGGCACTCCTCATGCCCTCCAAACACTGCTGAGTACACAGGACTCACTTTGTTTGGCTCAGTGTCACAAACCCGGTTAGTGAGTGGTATTAACAAGTCCAAGATCCTGCAAATACACAAGTTCAGGAGTATGTTTCTGTATATACATAACTGTAGACATTTCTACAGCACATATTTTGAGTCACCCATTGATTGAATTTAAGAACTCTGTCTGTCTTCAGTGTACTTTTTATATACAATAAATTATTACAAGCTACATGCTCCAAAATGCTTATTACTGTTGCTTAATAAAAAGGCCCTTAAACATATTTGAAACAAAACTAAATAATGTTCCTATAAAAGTAAATAGGTAACATATTGTCCTTTTTTATTTTTTTTACTAATTATTTACATTACCAACACTACTCAAGTCCCCAAAATTCAAATTTTATATGAGATGTTTTACTATCTAATAAATTATTCAAAACTTCATTACACTAAATACAAACTTATATCAAGACAATAAATTATTTCCCTTTGTAAAGTAGCAGCCAAAGTGTTATTTTTCTAATTAGTAAGAATTTTTTAGGATGATGAGAGACATGAAATGAACAGTATTTACATCAGGAAGAAATCAGGATTTCTGCTAAAATATCCTATTCTCAGAAAAGAAGATGAGCTCTTTTATGTGTTATGGCAGATTTACTTAAAAGACTAGTAGCTAACTAGAGAAAGTTCTAAATAAAATCATTAAAATATAAGTTCTTAGATTATTTTTAGACTTACCGCCAGCACTCAGCTGGAGAGGTCTACACTATAAGGATAATAAAAGCCAGAAATTCTCCTCTTTCTGGGAAAAGGAAGGCAGAGCTATGCCAAAGTATATTTATAACATTCTTTCTCCCTGCCACTTTTCCTTAGGTAAAGTAGGACTAAGATAATAATATTTAAGGAGAACCTATATTTACTATAAAGAAAATCATCAGTGACCAACAGAATTCTCAAAATTGAGAACAAATAAGCACAAATTCCGGAGAAGGCAATGGCACCCCACTCCAGTACTCTTGCCTGGAAAATCCCATGGACGGAGGAGCCTGGTGGGCTGCAGTCCATGGGGTCGGGAAGAGTCAGACATGACTGACCGACTTCACTTTCACTTTTCACTTTCATGCACTGGAGAAGGAAATGGCAACCCACTCCAGTGTTCTTGCCTGAAGAGTCCCAGGGATGGCAGAGCCTGGTAGGCCGCCATCTATACGGTCACACAGAGTCAGACATGACTGAAGCAACTTAGCAGCAGCAGCAGCAGAAGTGCAAATTCTCAAGAGGGTTCTGACATCAATTTAAAGCTCAGAGTATAACTGCAGAGTTATGATTAAATAAAATATCAAGAGTTAAGAAAAACATCAAATATTTAAACCTAAGTATTTTGCTAAAATAAAGAACCTGTCGAGTGTCTCCTACATGTATTAAATGTGTTAAAAATTTTTAAGTGAGTTGGAAAAACTATACCCTTCCGTTCAGTTCAGTGGCTCAGTCGCATCCAACTCTTTGCAACCCCATGGATTGCAGCATGCCAGGCCTTCCTGTCCATGACTAACTCTTCAACAAGGCACAAACAAGATTACAAATATCTTTAAGAAAACAGTAAAATACCATGACACCTAGTGGTATAATAACACAATTACAGCATCTGCTTTTCTACTATACAAACATATAAAATATTAAAGACAAGAACATTTCACTATTACTTTTTAAATTAAATAATACTAAAAATAGCTATAAAAATTACTACTGCAGTATTAAGACTCTAAAAACTTTAAATATATATTTTTAAAAACTGTTTGGTACCAATCTATATTAAGATAGGCTGCCATATTCTCAAGGTAAATAATTGGTTTAATAATTTCTAAGATTCTTAGAACTCCCAATTTAAGGGAGTTTCAACTTTCTTTAAGTCTCTCTCTCTCCAAAAATCTCATTTGAATTTTTGGCTAGGGAAGAAGAGTAACAGATGCAGGAGAAAGTACCGCTGAATTTGAAATCAAACAAAGAGAAGTCCAGTCAAAGGGTTCAAGATGTGGAGGACTGCCTAGACCCCACGAAAAAGAACTCCAACAGAGATCACAAATTCAAAACCTTTCGGGTATCAGGGAGGTAACATAAGTAAGTTGAATAAACTCATCAGATCACTACCTCAAGATGTCTAGGATAAAACTGGAAAGGAGTGGAAGAGTAGCTCAAGAAAATCAGAGGGAAGACTTAACACCCTGAGAAGGTCTCCTGGGCCACTGTGCCTCACTCTAAGAAAGTGCAAGACTAAGAACTGCAGGGGATGGCATGGGAGACAGATGTGGGGGTGGACCTAATCATCGAGCAAATCAGTAGAGAAGGGAACACCAAGGATTATGTCTGGAGGTAAAGGGTCTGGTCCAGAAGATCTAATTTCTTACTACCTCTCAATTATGAGACCATTTTATTTTCATTTTTAACACTTACTTTGTATGGCCCATCTGTGCAGCTGCATGTATAGGTAGCTGCCAATTGTCCTCATTACAGTAAAGATCAGGATCTGCCCCACTGGAGAGCAAAAGCTCCACACATTCTGTGTGGCCCTCTTGAGCAGCAATGAACAAGGGAGTAGCTTTGTCCAAGGCTTGACAATTGACATTTGCACCTAAAATAAAACATTTAACATATAACCCTCTTTAATGTAAAAATTAAAAAAGATAATCAACGAACAATTCAAAGCAGCTGCCTTAAAAGGGTACAACAGATTTTCCTCCTTAATGGATATTGTTGTTGAAACATTAATTTTCAATTTCTTATTGGTAATCATTTAAATTGTTTTTGCTTTTATGTTAACAAGAAAAAAAGATTAATATTTTAGAATTCATTTTTAAGCTAAAATATGAATTTTACTCTATGAAGGATTCATTTCATTCCAACCCTTCCTCCAACAAACACTCTGAGGGTCTAATAAGCAATCATTAAAAAAAAAAAGGCAAATCATCAAATATGGATAACATTTCTGATCATTACTGAAAGAATAAGAAAAAAAATCTTAAATTATGAGACCTTACAGATGCCACTAATTGATTCAGGCTAAGAGTGGTGAAAAAAATTCCAGCAGATATGATATACACGGTGGCTATGACTTTAAACTAATGTTGACTATACTCTCTATTATATCCCTTTTCTTCATGACCAGTGTATAATGAACAGAGCCCACAATAAAAGGAAAAAGCTCTATTTAAATGGGTTTCTAAGCTGAATTTTCAAGCATAAATCTAATCAATTATTTAGATGCAAATGTATAAAGATGTGAAAAGGTTTAGTGACCTCAATTTCTGTGAAGGTTTCAAAAATAGCAGACTTCCTCCAACTCTTCTCACTGACAAATAATGTGCTACATATGCTAAGTATGTGTGTGTTAATACATGACCATGAAAATTTTTAAATTTCTGGAATACACCTCAGTGGAAAAATCATCATCCTCAAGGGGGAAGACTATTTTTTATTTAAAAGGATGTTTCATAAATACACCTTGAATAAACCAAAGCCCTGAAATTGGTAAGAACAATGCAAAATACAAATGCTAAGTCAGAATTCACGAACGGTCACGAACAGTCAGAAATTCCAACTGGATATTCAACACGTCTAGATACACAGAATCTTCTTGACTTGTACAAGGTGGATGCTTCACCTACTGTCAGCATTAGAAAGAAATGAACTCTATAGCTGAGGAAAGATTAAGTCAGAAAAGAAACCTACTTAACTTTCTTTTTTTAAGAAATGTTTTGTTTTGATTGACAATTTTAATGTATAAGAATAAGGAACCAGTCTTTGTAAAATTTCAGGTAAAAAAGTTGGGGCAATGAGGAAGAATTCACTGAAAGTCATTTTAAAGAGTTAGAAACATGTATAGTCACATTATACACCTACCTATATACCTTTTCAACTTGCTGTTTATAACTATTCAGAGAGAAGGAAAAAAAAAAACCAAAAAAACAGGTACTTAGTGTTCCAGGAGACAGGCTCAGCATGAGGAGAGAGTCATGAAGCTGCAGTTTAACCTATTTCATTCTAAGTATTAGTTACACACTAATAATTGGAACTTTTGGGACTGGAAGTCATAAAATGCATCATGACAGTCCGTGGGAAGGTACAGCACAGAAGAAGGAAGATGAAAAATCAAAGTCCTGTGTCCGAGTCCCGATTCCGCCAGTGAGTAGTTTCTATTATAGATCTCTGGCACGTCACTTAAACAGCTCAGAGTCTGGGGTTCTTAATACAACAACAAAACACATGCTTGAATAAATGACTTTAGGGATTATCTCAACTCTAAAGATTTATAGACCTGATATTTGTAACATATCTTAATTTTACACTTAACAAATGCTTGTTTCTCTTGCTTACTATGCCAACTTGAGTATTTCAAGGTTTATAACGAGAAAGCAGAAATAAGAAAATATGTGCTCTAAATAAACTTTGTTTTGGTAATTTATTAAAAGTTTAGATATTATAGAAGATATGTGAAAAGCCTAGATATTAAAAAAAATTGTGTGGTGGCAAATCTGGTGTCTCTCCCATCTGCTCTTAACTATCCATGTTTTGTCAGGTTAGCACTGCGCACAGCAATGGTGTCAGAAGAACTGAAAAGCCCTTATATAACAAATGTTTCTGGTCACAGAAATGTCACACAGTAATAAGCATGCCACCTCAACAACATCTTCTCTGACAATGCTGAATATGTAATGGTTGTCACTGAAAAACTTCTAAGCAGGTTTATGTTGCTATTTATTAACATAATAGTGTAAACAGGCTTTGAAATAAACCCATTTAAATATCACACAATTAACCAAAATACACAAGTCAGAGGGTTAATATACAAAAAAGCTATCTAAATGATAAATTAAGACTATATTAGTCATGTACCCGAGAAAGTTGGAACTATTCAGGTCGCTATAATGAAGGACAGCCCCAACATTCAACTTGCCAATAAACCTGCTTTAGCAATAGATCATTAAAGTTCTGCTGAGGTAAGTTAGTTGTTGCGCATTGTATTACGTTAGTTAATAGGGACCTAGTAACCAGGCTTACAAATTAACTTGTACGTACTCTTATTTACCACTAACATAAGACAATAAATTTCAGAACCTGATTTATATCTAGTCAAGAATTACTCTTCCTAGGAGGATACAACATTACACTCATGATCTTAACAGTGCAAAGGCTAACGGATTAGTCTTACCCGAAGATACAAGTATGCGCAAGCTTTCTAGCTTGCCATACTGAGCAGCCACAAACAAAGGTGTGATTCCAAAGTCATCCTGGCATTCCTTGTTTGCTCCTTTTTTAAGAAGCAATTTTATGATCTCAGCATTTTCCTAAGGCACAGATTCATATTTTAAATAAGAGAAAACAACAATAGAAGATATCTCTTTTTTTATTGTTGTGTGTGTATATGCTTTTTATCCTCACTAAAGGAAAACTCTTTTTTAAAAGTGTTTTGGGTGATGGGAAGAAAGTGCTAATCATTATTCTGTACCTTAAGCTAGCCCATTAAACATAAACAGATAAAACAATGATCTCTAGGAATTAGAATCCTTATAAAATCCCACAAAATTAGTTTGCAAGCCCAAGCACTAAGGTATTATCACAGTTTCTAAACAAAGTGCTATAAATATAATAAACCATTGTTCACTATCAATTTATATATCCCAAATATTCTGATGGCCTCTTAACTATGCTATCAACATTTGAAAAACTTACATAATCCCTGCAGTCCAAAGTTGTTAGAACTACTAGAGCAGCAGGCTTATTCAGAATGATCATTACCATTTAGACTGCCTTTCTGTACTGCACTAACCACCATAAATCACAGGCAAGTAGGAAGCAAAGATTGTATAGAATTGTCATTTTAAAAGGGTAAAACACACAATTTACATGGAAATGAAATAATAAAAGCAGAGTTTACCTGAAAAGTAGCCTGGTGCAAGGCGTTCCATCCACACATAGAATGGGATCCATTAACATTTGCTCCATATCGAAGCAGCAGCCTTAACACATCTATCTGTCCATTTTCAACAGCTGCAATACAGCAGTTAAAAAAATTATCGTCAGTAAAAAGACATGTTTGTACGACTGGGCACTTTGGTGATGTTTCCATCATTTATTCAGCCCAGAACTCACAATACTGTGACCATTCCTATCAACAAATCAAAACATATGTGTTCTCCTTGTTTAAGTATAAAACATTTATCACAATTACCTCAACCCAAATCCATTAATATATATACTCTTTTGGAACACACAGAAAATTATTTTCAACTGTATCTTAAAAGATACAGAGGAAATGGAAGCAAGAGGCAAACATTTATTCTCTCTGATAATGGAGACAATATGTTTATATTTTGTTAAAAATGCAACTGGAAGGGGCATGGAATGAACAGTTAAGAAGAAAGAGCATCAGTCTGGAGAAACAGTCTCAAAAGAATTGAAACGATGGCTACTATTACCATTTCATCACAAATGACAACAGTAACTGACAAGCAAACTGAAAGCATAATACTGCAAGACTTTACTTTAGATATTTTTAGCATAATAAACAACAATCTTTGTTAAAATGATGTTTTTTTAATCAACCAATGAAAATTTAGTAGAACCCTGCTTATTTGAACTAAAAGGGGACTCCAGACAAACTTAGGAGCGTTGTTAAAGAAATGCATATTATTTCACTACAGTAAATGAAACGAATGACTCCCAAGTTGCTACTACAATAGATTATTTGAAGGAAGAGTTTGCATGCCTATAGAGACCTAAAAATTATGTGCCCTTTTACTAATTACATTATGCTACTTTTTTCCACATATCTAATTTAATATTAGCACAGGATATGTGTAGTCTAGTATCATGCACATATAACAGTTTATAAACCCTACCTCGTGAGGATGGACATAGGTATAATGCTATTAACTTGATACAACAAACAGTGGGGCTGAACTTTCTACAATATTATCCGCACAAAATTTCGTTATGAAGGTGGGCAATTCTGGAGGAGTTAATGAAAAAATAGAATGCCAGAAGATAGTTAGACATTAACAAAATAAGTACACAGTACACCATTAGCAAATTATGTATACTGTGAATGCTGTAGGTATTAGGCTATTACACTAACTTTTCAGAACTGTAACTGTGAAGAAATATCAGTACCTACAAGGAACAGAGATGTATATAGGAAGCTCTGATATTTGTGCCTGATGATGGGAAAGGGGTTTTGAAAAACAAGATTTTTAATTTCACCTCAAGCATACAGTTATTCTGTATCTTCTACTGTTGTAGGAGGCAGGAAATTAGAATCAACAAGTCTCAGTCAAAAGTTAAAAAGGCACTAGACAAAGGACCACACTTGAAAAATGGTAATATAGATGAAACAATGAGAAGATAAAATCCTTAAGTTTCCCTCATAAGGACTGTAAGAAGTTCTTTAATCAAGAATCCTCTTATACTGGAAGGTTTCAGATATTCAAACACCTTGGTTCAGATAGTATCACTGAAGTAGTTTAACCTAACTTCTCCTATTTCTAAGTTAATATTCAAGGACATTTCATCAGGCAAAGAACGACAGTTTTTCAAGCTAAGTTATTTTTCTATAATCAATTAAAATCAACCTATTTTGGGGTGGAGGTCAGGACAGAAAAGGAAGTAAATTTGTTTCATATCCAATTCATACATCATTATCAATAACTGCTGGCAAAAATCACTCTACAGTCAAGACCCTGAGTTGAAGATTATCAGGTTGTCATTGGTGATATATGAAACAGAGTGAAAATAAGATTGTTTCCATGAATTAGGCTGACCTTCTAAAAATGAAAGTCAAAAAAAAATTGTTTTGATTATTAAATACAGTACAGAAGTCAGAGAGAAAAATTTTAGTATCATAAATACACTAAGATATGTGATTTCTGCCTGTCTAGTGAAAAAATTTCTCAGTGGCAAAATAGCATTTTTACAGCTTTTACTAATTATTTCAAAAAAAAGCAACTGGCTGATTAATGGGTAATGAATAAGAAACAGTGGTTTAGAAAACTGTATTTAGAGCTTGCACTTTACTGAGACAGGCTGAGACCTGAGACCTGCTACCATGCTTGCACCTGGACAAACATCTCCTCAGGCAACAAAATAGCAAGAAATTGTATAGTACTAAAAATAACTGTATGCATGCATAGATGGGCAAATTCTAGACAAAAGAGACTAAAAAACCCAAATGACACTTCTGAAGAGCCTAGAGCAAAAGGGGGTCAGGGGCAAAAGCAGGGTACTGCGCAGGCCCCCTGCACACAGCACCACACAAGACGCAGGCAAGCACCTAAGCCACTCCTCTGGCCCAAACTGGTCACACTCCTACCCTCACTCCACATAAAGAACAAGCGTGGCCCCACTCAGGGAATGAGCAAAGGAACCCTCGTTTGTTCTCACTCCCACTGCTGTAGTAGGGGCTCCAATAAAGCCTTGCTTGAATTTCTAGTCTGGCCTCTGATCAATTTCTATTGGTTAAGGAGGCCAATAACTCTGGCTGGTAACACTACCTTCAAGGCCTCTCCTTTGGAAGAATTGAGTAACTTCTTCATCCTTATATAACAAGTTAACAAACTGAAGGAGCAGTGGTAACCATACTATGACCAAGTGTATTATGCATCAATAAAAGTTAATTTAAAAAAATACCCAAACTTGACCTTGATATTTGTTCCTCCTTATTATAAGGAAACTACACTTCCTGAGGAGAGAAACTGGGTCCCCTTCCCCTTACGTGCTCAGGGCCAATCAGAGACAGAAGACAGACAACAAATAAGCATTGACGAGGTGAATGAAAAATAAATATCTAAAATAAAATGAGATTTTTCTCTTCTTAAGAACTGATTCTTCTCCAAACAGAACAGGTTTCAGAAATGTATTTCCTGATACGACACTATAACTGTGCACTAAACTAGCCATTGTAATAGTAGAAAATAGAGAGCAACTTTTTCTAGTATTAAACCAAGGCAAAAGACTATGATTCCTAAAGAAAGGAAAGGAAATACATGAGGTGAGACCCATGATGACCCCAGTATCTGCCTGGGGACATTTCTGGACTATGGGGCAGTGAGCTAAAGTCCAGGCATAACAAGAGTAAGGTTGAAGAAAGAATACTCCAAGAAGAGGAAACAGCCCAGCAGAGTACAGCAGTCCGCTGAGCTGAGGAATAGATCAGTTTAAGCAGCTGAAACTGGTGGGGCAAAGCCCAGGAGAAAAGAGAACTGTGCAGAGGTGAAGTCCCACTGTGGAAGTCTGCCAAGAATCCTTGCTTGAGGTCTGGGTTACACATGTACAAGGAAGATGAATCTTCCCGGAGAACTGCTAGAGTTAAGAATGGAAAAGACAACCAGAAGACAAACAGTGCTGAGGGGCAATTAACTCCTAGGAGTTCTGGCCCAGTCAAAGTGGTTAAACCACATGGCTTGCTACTTCAATACCTCATTAACACTCTGGGCATCTATCTAAGAAATCCAAAAGGCAGAGCCCTCAGGATAAAGACCGCATCTAAGACTAAGGACTACTCTAGACCTCCTCTAACAAAGCCTAAAATAAGCTCTGATCAAGATGGAGGCAGAGGATGTGAGCTGAGTCCTCCTGGGGAGTTAGACCTGGGAAATACGATCTCAACAGGGCACAAAGCCAAACCTAAACACATTTAAGGTAATAAGAAAGTAAATAGTCTATTATTTAAAAAAAGAAAAAAATCATTATTTCTCAGAGGATAACAAAATTCAAGTCTCTATGAAATACTATCCACAATGTCCAGTATACAAGTCAGAAAGTAGTAAGGAGAAACTAACCCCAAGACGGCCAAGATTTTGGATTTAACAGATTAACTAAAGCAGCTACTATAAATATGTTAATATCTATGGTCATACAGACAACCTAGAGAGAGAATCTGAGCAGAGGAAAAAACTTAAAAAAAAAAAGAACCACCACCAAATGGAAATTCTAGAACTGAAAAAAGAAATGGATGTGCTTAAAAGATCAGAGATAATAGAAGAGTTAATGATCTTGAAGACATTAATATAAATGATCCAATCTAAAGAACTGAGAGAGGAAAAAAAACACTAAAGGAAAATCAACTGTGTATCAGGGACCTGTGGACAACATCAAACAGTGAACCATACATTAGCTGGAGTCCCAGAAGGAGAAAAGAATAAAAATCAGGCAGCAAAAAAAATATATATGAAGAAATAATCCCTGAAATTTTCCAAAATTTGATTTTAAAAACAACAAAAGCCATATTGAATTACAGATCCCAGAATATCAGCAAACCAATGTTTTGGAAGTAGTCACTACACTTAAGACTTCACATTATATGTAAGTTAAGGATGATTATATAAACATACTTGACAGCTCTGTGGAAGAATTTAAATGATTATAAAAGGGGGGTGCAAACAACAAGCCACTTAAATCAACTTAGCTATAATAATAGTTTAATTTTTTTCCAGGGCTCTTCAGTTCAGTTCAGTCACTCAGTCGTGTCCGACTCTTTGCGACCCCACAGACTGCAGCACACCAGGCCTCCCTGTCCATTACCAACTCCCAGAGTTTACCCAAACCCATGTCCATTGAGTTGGTGATGCCATCCAACCATCTCATCCTCTGTTGTCCCCTTCTCCTCTTGCCTTCAATCTTTCCCAGCATCAGGGTCAGTCTTTTCAAATGAGTCAGCTCTTCACATCAGGTGGCCAAAGTATTGGAGTTTCAGCTTCAACATCAGTCCTTCCAATGAACACCCAGAACTGATCTCCTTTCGGATGAGCTGGTTGGATCTCTTTGCAGTCCAAGGGACTCTCAAGAGTCTTCTCCAACACCACAGTTCAAAAGCATTAATTCTTCAGCATTCAGCTTTCTTTATAGTCCAACTCTCACATCCATACATGACTACAGGAAAAACCATAGTCTTGACTAGACAGAACTTTGATGACAAAATAATATCTCTGCTTTTTAATAAGCTGTCTAGGTTGGTCATAACTTTCCTTCCAAGGAGTAAGCGTCTTTTAATTTCA